TCAGCCCTAACTATAAGAGCCTTTTCTAACTATAAGAGCCAGTCCTTACTATAAGAGACAGCCCTAACTATAAGAGCCAGCGCTATTAGTAAGAGCCATTCCTAACTATAAGAGCCAGTCCTTACTATAAGAGTTAGCCCTAACTATCAGAGTCAGCCCTAACTGTAAGAGCCAGACCTAACTGTAAGAGTCAGTCCTTACTATAAGAACCATTCCTAACTATAAGAGACAGTCCTAACTATAAGAGCCAGCCCTATTAGTAAGAGCCATTCCTAACTATAAGAGCCAGTCCTAACTATAAGAGCTGGTCCTAACTCTAAGAATCAGCCCTAACTATAAGAGCCAGCCCTAACTGTAAGAGCAGAACTGTCTACAGACTGTACTAATGGTATGTTTCTGTGTGTGTGTGTGTGTGTGTGTGTGTGTCAGTCAGCAGACATGGCCGGGTTAAAGTACCTGACCACAGCTCTTGAGACGATGGAGGACCCAGAGAACCCGGAGTGTGAGAGTGAAGGCTGGCTGCTGGAGAAGGGAGTGAAGGAGACGTTCGGCGAGCTGCTCGCCAAGCTGAAGACAATGGGCAAGGCCAACCAGGTGGAGGAGGGCGCAGCGGAGGCTGCCACCTGAGAGCCCCGCCCACCACAAAGAACTGGGGTCTCCCCCCTCCTCCCCCCACCCTCACCTCACCTCCGTCTGCCTCTTCCCCAGAAATCAGGGAGTGTGAGAGGAGAGGTTTCTAACCATCGTCTGTACATACGCCATTGTTACAACACCACACACACACACACACACACACACACACACACAACACACACACACACAGTGAATGTGGATATATTTTCCATGTGTAAATATGTTGAACAGAGTTTATTTTTAAACAGGAGGGACAAAAACCTGCTGCTGTAAATAAATCATCTGGGTCTGGGTTTGAAATTATAAACAAATATTACAATATTAAATTACAATATTAACCCCCCCCCCCCCTAGATGTCAGTGAACACATCATTATCAGCTGGTCCTGATGTTTATATGTCAGACATCACGTATGGATCGGGCTCTGGTCGTCACCATCGCACTGCTGACACTGTCCGTTGACATGGAAACAGACGGCCAAAACATCCATTAGAAGTAGGGTCACTCAGTGCTGCCACCACAGGTCACAGAGTGTTACTGCAATAGTCCCACTGTGACCATATGCTTCTGTGTAAACAGGGTTTCTTCTGTATATACCTGTATCGAGAGATATATACTTCTGTAGATACACAGTTATATACAGAAGTATGTACTTATGTATGTACCTCTGTATGCTTCTGTATACACCTTTGTATATACAAGTATATACTGCTGTATATACAAAGGCGTATACCGCTGTATTGTACCTCTGTATATACCTATATACAGAGGTACAGTACAGGTGAAGAAGTATATACCTGCATCCAGAGATATAAGCAGAGGCATATATCTATACAGAGGTACAGAAGTATATAGGTATATACAGAATACAGTATATATTTATACTTCTGTATATATATAGATATATATCTCTGTATATGTATCTATATTCCTCTTTGTATATGTATCTATATTCCTCTTTGCATTTCAGGCGTATACCTCTGTATATACCTCTATATACACATGTATATTCCTTTGTATATACAAGTATATACTGCTGTCTAAACCTCTATATACATATATATTCCTTTGTATATACTTCAGTTTATATTGCATACCTTTGTTTATACCTCAGTATATACAAGTATATTCCTCTGTGTATCACAGGTGTATACTTCTGTATATACTTCTGTTTACATGTGTTTATACCTTTCTATATGCAAGTATATGCTGTTGTATATACACATAAATATAAAGGTATATATAATGTATTTACCTCTGTATGAACAGGTGTGAACACAAGTATGTACAGAGGTGTACACAGGTATATACAGTGGTATATGTATATATAGAGGCAGATATATACAGACGTATATACAGGTGTATATAACTTTAATATGACATGTACGCAGCTTTCTAAGACTTGTTGAGTTTTTACGTGCAACACATCTTCTACCTTCACACATTGTGTTTTTTAAGGATGAACTGTGCTCTGTGAAAGATCACATCTTCAATAGCTAACGTTGCTTGGCTAACCTGAAGCAGGTGATGATTGGAGCCTGTCAGACAGAGCTCAGGGTGTGAATAATGGCCGTCTGGTTCTCTGTCAGAGTGACCCCTGGTCAGACTCAAACAGGAAGGTAACGTCAGGTCAGCTGTAGAGTTTAATTCAGTTCCAGTTACACGTTGTGATGTTTGTATGTCTCTGTTTGTTTCTCTGTGATCTGGAGAGTTGTGACGTTTAAGGCAGTTGTTGTGGGTTGGGCGGAGCTTGTAGTCGCTCCGCCGTGTACGATAAAACCTATAAAGAGATTGTGACTGACGCCAAAGTGTCCGACTCATCTTTCATCACCAACCAACTTGCCTTTGACATGTAGACACAACTTAATGCAGAGGTTATATACAGAGGGGTATATATGGGTCGATACAGGTACATACAGAGAGGTATATATGGGTAGATACAGGTGCATACAGAGGGGTATATATGGATAGATACAGGTGCATACAGAGAGGTATATATGGGTAGATACAGGTGCATACAGAGGGGTATATATGGGTAGATACAGGTGCATACAGAGGGGTATATATGGGTAGATACAGGTGCATACAGAG